AAAAACCAAACACCCTCCACCCCACCCCCACTGCCAATCGTCAACAGAAATGCTCACAACAATGAAAACCTCGGACAGGAGGAAGAGTGCCGCCAGGCGGGCAGGCAGATGTCTTGCTCAGCTGTGGCTTGGGGGGCACTTTTTTCAGTGCCATTGTAACTTCGAACAGTCACTAAACGAACTGTTGTAAGTCGAGGACTACCTGTACTTTATCACTTTTTTTCTTTTCTTTTTTTGGTCATCAAGTTTTTGACACCTTGCTAGGCGACTGGTGATACTCGGATGTTTCTATATCCTAAAAGTGATACAATGGGTGAAAAGGCTGAAAAGCCCTGCTGTAGCATACATTTCTGTGAAAGCTGGAAATGCCAATTTCACCTCTTAGCTCTTCTAAATTATCCCAAAGTACCAAAATATAATTCCTGCTCATTGCAATATTAAAAGGTCATATTCTCTGTGCTCTACTGCTCAAAACCCCAAGTCCTGAGCTGGAAAAACTTGGCAAAATTTGGTTTTGGTTCTAAGTACAGATAAAATTATTTGCTAGCTTAATGTTGAAAGCAGAATTGGTCAATTCAGCTTTAGAATAAACAAGTGATACTTGTTTGATAGCTCTGTACCACCCAGTTGCATTTGGTGAGATGGGCAGCTATGTAAATTTGATGAATGAATGATGAATGAATGAATAGAATGAAATGAATGAATAGAATGAATGAATGAAACCTCTGCCTAACAACCTTGTGAAGAAATTGATATCTATTTCCTAGTCAATCATTGGTCTCTTACATAATAAAAGATATACTGATCTAAAGTCTTTGGCTATCCCACGATGCAGTGGATCTTATGGAATCTTGAGAAGTCAAGCTAATTAAGTAGGTGTAACCATCCACAGCAAATGGAAATTATGACAAAATGATGACATATGTCTTGATGTCATTATGCACATTCCGTCCTTACACATTTAAGTATTGACATTTGATGCAAGAATATAGGTTGTATCTTTAGCATCATGATGTCACTTTACACATATCACTGCCTGCACCATGGACAGCTACAGTAGGTAATTAGGGTATAGAAAGAGGAATTCTTCCATAGATGTAGTGCAGAGTGATTTTTTTTCCATGGATAGGGAGTCTCACTTGGCCAATCTCTGGAATTATCTCATTACAGAAACCAAACATGTTCTGATGCCTTTGCTTCCTCCCCTCTGCTTTTCTGCACAGAATGGAAGAGAAACTTCCATTATAATACCAGGACCCATCTGGTATTAACTGGCTGTTTTTCGGGCAGAGAGGGCTCTTGTAAATGTGACTCTTGAATTTCAAGTGTAAAACCACTGAAAATCCTAGGGCAGGAGTAGGACAGTGGCTATGGTTACCCAAGAGACTCTGAGGAGTTTCAAAGGTGTTGCTCTGTAGATAACCAGGTGCAGGTAGTTCTCAACTAATGACCCTAATTGAGCCTGGCAAATATAGTTGTAAATCATGACAATCATAAAACAGGGTTATAGCATGACAAACTAAATTTTAGGAATTTTTTGCACTGGTTATTAAGTCAATGCCATAAACGTTATTAAGTCAGTGGTCGTAAAGTGAACACCATGGTTATTGGATGAAATCATTGTTCGCTATGGACAGCTTTTGCCAAAAACCAGAAGTAAACCTCAGTTTCTGGAAAAAAATATTGTAAAGCACAATTAAAGCCTGTCCCAGAATATTGATCTTAAAAAAGTCTGTTCTGCCCACATCCATATTTTCTGCAAAATATGGATCCCAATAAAGGAGCTACAGATATACCAAGGATATCTGAAAAATGTCACTACTCAAATCCAAATTTGAATCTGTTGGCCCATAAATAGTTTAGTTGGCTTAGTTACCAACTTGCAGTTAAGTTTTCTGCTAGGAGCTATCCGTGGTGCTGCAAACACCAATCTGTCTTAATATTGTTTGTTGGTTGTTCAGACCAGAATTCTCCTTCGGTAAAAGGAAAAAGAGGTGGCTTTTTTGCAGTTTAATTCCCTCCAGGACTATTACCACTATTACTTTTTATTGGTTTCAAAATTAAAAACTGAGCTCAAAGAATTTGAAAAGGGTTTTTGTCCTGTTTTGGCAAAAATCCAAGGAGCACTCCTTGTCACAACCATACTTGCATTGATTTTTTTAGACCTGCTTGATCTCTGTATTTTTTGCAATAGAGGGTTTCTCACAAAAAAATTAACAATACAACTGAACTAAAATAAATTAACCACCTGCACTCAATTCTGATACGAATCTCAAATTATTGGATGGAGCATGTTCACAGAACATGTTAAACTTTTGCAGATATTTACCTGCCTAAGTATTTGTTTTGCACTTGGCTCGTTTTAAGTCTTCATGGTTCTGAAGAAACGTACTTGGACCTACTTAGATTGGAAAATCTGCTCTCAATAGCAACAAAAAGTTGACTCAACGCCCATGTCTTTTGATTCCATGTGTGAGCAAAAGACTGTTCATGCTGAAGAGAAACAGAAACTGGATTCACATAAGTTGCCTAATTAGGTTTCGTAAACTTGATACAGTACCTTAAACTTTAAACCCTGGCTAGTTTTGTATGGCTTAGCACATCCTGTTTGTTTTAGGACCTACTGTATTACATCAGCATAGAAAATGAGTGAATTCATTAAGCAAGTTGAGATGTGCTACTCCAGAATTGTTGTACAACTGAATAACCTGATCCTTTCTGGGATCCCTGCCATTCAGCACCCACAGTAACTTGTGTGAAGTGTACGGTTGCTTACTCTAATTCAGCTAGTGTGTCATACAAATTCAGAAAGAAGAGTTAATTAATATTAAGTACTTCCTGAGAGTAACAACAGATCCAATATGCAAGTTGCAGAAACAGGGCCATCCACGTGTGAGGGATATGGCAGACTCTTCTCAGGAGGATGATAAGCAATTTATTAATGAAGAGGGGCAAAGATGTTCCTGAAATAACAGATCACTCTGATCTGTTGTGACTCCAGTTAAAAATGGTATAATCTGGGTCCAAATAGGAACAGAACCTTTTTGTGGGAAGAGACATGGAGCTGAAAACTGAGTCACTCTACCTAAATTAGTGTCTCTTCCAACATCTTTAAAAATTGACCGTGATTCCTTGGATTGATGGGAGCTGTTGTTCTGAAGCATGATCAGTTTTATGTATCTATGTGGTTACCTGCTTTTTTAAAAAATGGTAGGCTGTTCTGGAAGGTTTTTTTTTAAATTTCCTACTTGATAACTAATGTGTTAATTTGAACAATTGTGGTAGTCAGGGCTGAAATTTTGTCTGCAAAGGAGAAATATAGCTGCTGTTCTCTTCAAGAAATATGAAGAACATAACTTTGTTTGGAAAATTAAGGGTACAAATCTCTCCTTCATATTCAGTTTCCATATGTGAAAATAAATATAACAGAAGTATCACACTCCTCTAATGGTTTCTTCCCAAAATAACTGAACTGAAATATCTCACTGCTCTGAGGTAGTGTATGTTCTATACAAATGTTTCATTTTTGTTTTAGAATTGCTCTTGTACACAAGAGAATCAGTTTTGGGGTAGTAGGTTAAGGCATCAGGCTAGAAATTGGGAAACAGGAATTCAGGAATGCGTTAGGCACAAATAACTAGGTATTTCTCTCAGCTCTAGGAAGGAGGCCGTGACAAAACCACTTCTGAAAAAACTTGCCAAGGAAACTACAGGGACTTTTCCAGCAGCCCCTAAGAATCAGACATGATTGAATTGAAGGAAAAAATACATACAAATATTTAGCTTTCTCACAGAGCACTCTACTCATGTAAGACATTACAGATATGAACATTAGAACACTTCATCTGGGCCATCTGGGATGCAGCATTTTCTAATGGACCAACTACTGGCTCTATCTAAGGCAAACCTATTAAATAAAAAATTATAAATCATGGAGGCTATTCATTTGGGGACAAGCAACATTATATAAAACAAAGACATAAATCAAGTAAAATATGCTTTATTATTATTATTATTATTAAATTTATTTGCCACATATCTTGCCCTGTGGCTACTTTAGGTATAATATAGGTTGTCGATTAATTCATAATGAGTTGCAAGAGTGTTATTATAGCTGTTCTAATAAAAATAGGTCTGCGTGGTTTCTACTTCTTAACCTGTTCTATGCTATGAGGCTGATATCAAGCTTGCAAGTGTCAGTGTGCTTCCCCTTTTTCTCCTTTTATCTTCATGTGAATAGGGGATGGGGTTGTTTGAAGCATTTCCATAAAGCACTTTCTTGGTCTGGACTCAAGCCACATTTAGCTGATTGTTGTCTTGGTACCAGATCTTCAAGGCCATCCTTTAAAATCACTACAAATACAAAACAAAAACAGTATTTACAGAGGCTTTGGAGAACTGAATGGTGAGAGCAGTGAATTTCATAACTGCAATGATAATGTATCTGTGCCATCTTTCAATAAACCTCAATGTCTTGGGCAGTTTACCCATCTTTTGATTTTGCCATTAAAAGCACATAGCATGTATGCTTATCCAATTCATTGAAGGAAGCATTTGTTTTCACGTGGAAATCTCCAGAGATTAGCTCTGTAAGAGTTCCTTTATGAGATCACAGGAGGCTAACCAAACAATATGTGTGAACAGCAGGGTTGCTGCTTCAAAGTTGCAACAATATTGCTTTAAGAATGAGAACCTAGGCAGTAATTTGGACTCGAGGTAGTTTCAAAGTTAGCTTTTTTGTTCTAAAAAGGTATTGATTTCAACCACAGAATTGTTGGGAATCTCTCTCTGCACAATTCCTTGTCTTTTTTCCTTCTTGATTTACTCACTCCAAGAAAAAGAGAGTAAAGCAATCTGTCATTCTGGGAAGCACCACTGGCTCTATTTCCTGCCTCCAACACCAAAGACATTAAATAAATCTTAGGGAGGATTATTTGCTTAATAACAGTATCCCCAATATTCTTACAAGGTTGATAGAGATCAGTTTATTAGAGAACAGGCTACTCTGGACTTAAGGAGACAGCAGGGTCCATCTCTTCGGTGTGGTTCTGGGGTGACACTGGCTGTCCTTTCACACGTTTCCATTTCATCCTGCGGTTCTGAAACCATACTTTGATCTGCACAAGAAACAGGACACAGTTCTGATTAATTTAAATTGAACGTAACTGCATGTTAGATAACTGTGAGCTTCTTGGGAAGTTTTTCTGTTCTAAGTCAAACCTAAGGCTCTAGGACTCAGGGGTAGGCAATCTTGGCTCTTTTATGACTTGTGGACTTCAACTCCCAGAATTCCTGAGCCAGCATAGCATGCTATGCTATGCTATGCTGGCTCAGGAATTCTGGGAGTTGAAGTCCACGAGTCATAAAAGAGCCGAGGTTGCCTACCCCTAGTCTAGTCATTAAGATATCAGGCTAGGAACCAGGAGACTGTGAGTTCTAGTTCTACCTTAACCATGAAAGCCAGCTGGGTGACCTTAGGCCAATCACTCTCTCTCAGCCCAACTAACCTCAGAGGGTTGTTGTTGTGGGGAAAATAGGAGAGCAAGGTGTGTTGGATGTTCACTGCCTTGAGTTATTGTAAATAATAATAAAAGTGTGATACAAACAAACAAACTCTGTACTGATAGGAGAAGGTATGTTGATATTATTTGGAAGTGGGTGACCTTCTTTCTCCCTTTAAAAAATTGGGATACTTATAAGTGAGCAGGTATTGAACACTCCCAAACTTCTTTCCCTGCTTTGGGCTAGTGTTTTTCAATCTCAGCTACTTTAAGGTTCATGGGCTGGGGGGGGCGGGCAGAAGGAGACTGCTTCAGGCAGAGGCAGACCAAGCAGAAAAGTTTCACCTGTCTTTCTGTCAAATCAAGGTTCACAGCAATCTCATATCTTCGGAGCCTCGTCAGATAATTGTGGTGAGTAAATTCCATCTCAAGCTCCCGCAGCTGGTCCTTAGTAAATGCAGTGCGCTCCTTACGTGCTCTGGAGCTGTTGGTTTCTTTCTTGGAATTGGTTGTAAGGTTGCCACGGACTCCACCCTGGCTCTCTATAGAAGGGAGATATTTATCTTTATGTCAAACCAAGCCCATCAGGAGAGCACACAAGCAACCCCCCTCCCACAAATTCTAGGCTTAGTCATTGGAAGCTCGGTCCATTGCATGAACCCAGAACATTCAATGACTCAACAAATGATGGTTTAGTTAAACTAGTAGCTAGCAAGATGTGTGAACATAGCTTGAAGCTAGGAATAAGAATAGAGGAAAAAAAATCAAAAGAATCCTAAGTTATTGGTACAAAATGAACAAAAATGAAAAAGCTACAAAATAAATTATGCATAAACCAGAATGTGGTTTGCTACAAGCAGAAAATAGGACCCAGGCAAATTACCACTGCAAAATTTCTATGGAACATCACTCTCCAAATGCTTCAAAAGATACAGTTAGATGATATATGGTAGAGGAAATAAGAGGGAGCAGGCAGATTCTAGAAAATACCAATCTTTCACTTTGAAACAGAGAAAGAAATACCCTGATGGATACTTAAGTATCTTGTTCATCATTACTGTAAATGATGAAAAATAAGCTTCCTATTCATCATGCACTTATACCAGGTCAGGAGCCTGAAAAACAGAAAGCAGCTGGTAACAATGCAATGAAAATCTGGTAACAGATGAAAGGGAAATGTACTTGAATTTTAAAGCAAACACACACACACACACACACACACACACATTACATACATACACACAGAAAGACGGGGGGGGGGGAAACATATGCTTCCTGTACATATTCACCGACTTCATCTAAGTCTGGAATGTTTTTCAAGACTAGGGAACTGGAGTTGGCCTTTTTAAGGCAAAAGACAGACTAAACAAATATTTTATCTATTTGGGATTAATCATTGCTTTTTTTCTGATCCTAAAGAATCCAGGAAAAAGGTCCTTGAATTTTCTTGGATTTTGACTTCTTTCACCATTAGACCAAACTTGCTATTGGGACTGACTATTGTTTATCTCTGGTCACCAGCTTCAACCAAATGCAGAATTTTGCCATTAGCTGGGATTTGGTTTAGAAAAAAGCAACTCACCAAATCTCAAACGATGTAGGTCTCATGCAGGAACTAGTGGCTTTATTTTTATTTATTAATCACCTTTATATGACAGTTCATTTCACAGGAAATTATTCTGGGTGGCATACAGCAATCAATAAAACCAGAAAGGTATAAAAAGCAATCATTATAAAATATAAAAAGACATTTTTCAAGATAAAACACTAAAAAAAATAAAATATACTAACTACATGGAGAGAGTAAAAGATCAGCTACACCGCTGCCATCTAAAAAATGTCTCCAGTCCCCGGTGGCTCCCAGGCCTGGTGACACAACCAGATCTTGAAGGGCTTCTAGAATGAAAACAGGGATGGACCCAACCTGACTTCAGGGAGGGAAAAATCTTCCATAGAGTGAGCACCACCCCAGTTGAAAAGCCCGCCTCCTGGGACCAAACAAACTAGGTCCTTGGCAAATAGTGCCCACAACATACCTTCTCTGCCAGATTTAATGAGATGGGCCAATGCGATCAGCATTTAACTCCATAAAATGCATAGTCCAATGAACAAGAATACTCACTTGTGCTCACTTGAATAGCATCACACCACGGAGTAGCCAGCACATCTAGAAGAGAGCAGAACCTAATCTTAGATTATGTGTTAGCCACAGTATACCTCCCCTTCAGCCAAATCCTTTCAAATCAGAGTTGCCAGACTGTGAGTAAAAATAATGTAGTTCCTTTTGATAGACTCATCCACTGTACCACTTCATTATTCCATTGATATCTCAGTATCAACCTCCTACCTCACCTGCCAGAGTGCAGTCTCATTCCCTGCATATAAATAAGGGAAGTAATTGAAAAATGGGACATTCTTATTAATACTTTACCACACCTTTCTATTCAGGTGTCCTTGCTCTGGCAGTAAAAGACAAACTGCCATTCTCTCAAAGTCTTCTCTTTAGAGAGTGGCTATACAACGTCTCCAGGTTACAAACTGGTAATCTTGGAAACCAGTAAACAGTCATTTGTAATCCAGTAAACTGGAATTACCATATCCTGAAAATAGTCACATTTCAAAGTGGAATCAGCTATGCTCTTATTTTAAATAAATCCAACTTCCACTTTTCTCTCTTTTTCAGAGACAGAGCAGTGGTCAAGTTTTGATACTTAGAGTCCCACTTATCATTTAAAGAAATTCCAGAGATGCTTTTATGGTCATCAGTCCAAAATGAAAGAGGAGCCTCATTTCTTTAGAACTAGTTTCCCCTGGGACCTTAACACACACATGGCAACCTCTGGCCTTCCAAATGTTGTTGGATTCCTTTTTCCATCTCTCTGTTTGTTGGCCATTGAAGACTTGGAAGATCACATATTATTCCTCCTGTTCCAAAATAATTCCCAAGATTCTTTTCAGATCATGATGTCTCCATCTCTTTAAAGCCAGTTTGTATCAAAGCAATCTAAATCTAGCACATAGATCTCTTGAGAATTATCTGCTAGATTTATACAGCACACTAAATAGGATCGGGTGAGGTTGAGTTGTGAGGTTAAATTATTATTAACCTTAGTTTATTTGTTTAAGCATATTATGCACGATACGTAAAATAGCACGTATGTTTTGTTAATGTGCATAAAATTAGCCTATTATTGGGCTCATAGAATACACTAACCTGGAAAACTGATTATATTTTAAACACCACATTGAATAAAATCTCTATTAAGAACAGCCTAAAAGAATATGGTCACATCCTTTCAAGGGGCTCTGCTCTATTTATAATAAAGTTAGCTAGGATGCCAGAGGGTCCAGTGATGTCTTGGCTATGGAAATTTGCCCTCCTTCCTTAGACCTAGTCAGCTGCTCTCATTATTGACATTTAGATATTCACAAATTGATTTTTCCTTGGGTTGTTGGATTCAAGTATTGTCTTAAAATGTAGTTAGCCTGGATTTTTCTTAGTATGCTACATTTGCAAACTATTGTTTGTGTTATGGTCTCTAGTGCAGCAAACCCATCAACCTATATTCAACAAACCACGGCTAAAGAAATCCTGGTTACGCATGGGGCATGAACTCAGTTATATTATCAGTGAATATCTCACAGTTTCTGTTTCTTTATCCCTGCTCTTTCTTGTGACGTTTGTTTCTGATCTTATTTCTTCTGAAAACCTTCAAAGTCATGAAAATCTGACTTAACTTTAATGTTTGCTTCTTTCTTTGTAACTTGCAAACTGCCCATTTGGTTAAGCTTATGATGCAAGGGATTGGGCATATCCGGAAAATGAGTTAATACAGAAATTAAGGATTCGATGTATAAATGCACTGAGAGAAAATCAAGCCGGCCAACCCACATCCAGGCCACCTACCTGTTTTTTCCATTCTCCATTGGACTGCTTTATTCTCAGCGTCGCTTGCCACATTCCCTGCGATGAGGTTATTTTTGCTGGTCTCCCCCAAGGTGGAGCTGCCCTCTTCTAGCCCCCCGGATCCCGAAGCCAACTCCGCCGGCAGCATGAGCTTGCTCTCAGAAGCCGCCACATGCCAAGCGGGCGGCTGGAAGGAAATGCCAGGTGCTTCGAAAGCGCGTTCAGCGCAAGGAAGGCTCTGTGGAGCCGTAGCCTGGCAGGGGACCGAGAAATCCACGTAACCCCCCACGCCTGGTTTCAGGGGGAGCAGAACAGGGGCTGGAGGATTGTTGGGCGGCCTGGCGGATCCTCGGTTCTCGACGAGGGGGCGGCTCAGGCATTCCCAGAGTATGGAGGGAGCGTGAGGATTCCTCATACAGCTCCTGGCGACAGGTGGATTCATGGAGCCCTTTGGCTTCGGCACGCGGGCGCTTCCGAATGAAATCGTCGGAGAGCAAAGAAATTTGGCAGAAAATAAGAACCGAGGAGAGAAGGCACAGTGTGGCTTCTGCCTTTAACAGGTCACGGGTCGAGTCGTTCGGGAAATCTGGCAAAATTCTTCCTCAATGTCCGCAGGACAATATCCTCCTCCTTCCCAGGTCGGGCGCTTCCTCGCTATGAAACGACTGAGCCCAGGAAACACTTTTAAAGTTTGGGATGTGAGTAACAAGTTTAGGAGGAGAAATTCGAGAGAGGGAGGGCTTAACTCGCATCCCCAGCCCCTCCAACCAAAGCCAAGTACGCAACGATTAATCACACGAAACCTTAGAGGCGCATCAAATGGGAAACGCAGATGGAGACTTTTAAAGAAACACTGTACTTTTTTAAAAAAAAAAAAAAGCCTGGGGTAGAAGGAATATAACGCGCACACAAAGAGGGTTTAATATTTCCTTCTCACACTGAGCTTATTTTTATTGCAGTTAGAAAAAAACACACGTTTGAGATTTGAAAAGAAAGGAAAATTAAAGTAACATTCTGCATCATCCAGAAGCCTGTCAAAAGAGCACCAGGGGAACAATATAAAATGAAGAGATGGGGTAGAGAGACTGCCAATAAGATGAAAGAAAAAGGGAATGAAGAAGAGTTGGAGGAAAAGACTTTACACTTAAGGGCTAATTTAAAAGTTACAGAGTGTAAAGATACCTCCGAAAACTTTAAGAGAGGGGTGACCAGATCAAAGTGGAAAGAATCCTTTAGTTGTATCCTAAATTAATTTGATCTCTAAAGTGTACCACAGAACTTTTGGTTAAAGAAGTTGTGTCTCCTGAAAGATGGTTTTGTGATCTAGTAAGGATATAGATTCCCAGAATCTTTGAATGACATATTAATACGATTTAACTATAATGACCATTTTGTTCACCCTTACAACTATTTACACATTTGGATGCCCATGACCCCCCCACTTCTTACATTGTCTTTGAACTTTTCCACATCTGTGCTGAAGTGCCTCATGAAAACTAGAAATAGGTGAACCTCTTCATTTGTTTGCCAGGCATGAAACTCCTTTTATCCCATTTTTGTATCACTTAACAAAACTGAATGAATACATTTTGTGTACATTTCTTTATAAATACATGTTTATATCCACTGCTGGTGTACAAATGTTTTGCAATTTTTACTATCATACACATGTGGATTCCATTACGGTGTACAATTATATAGGCACCTTTGTTTATTCTGAGAAGCTTAATATTTTTTAGGATTGGGAATTGCATAGGAAAATTATGAATTTGGATTTCAAAATGTAAATATGTTTTTCTTTATTTATAATGAAAGTATGGGATGTATTTAATGTAATAGCACCATAGACTTCTCAGAGTAGCTGTTATCATATATTCTTGGTTTACAAGCCTGTATGAAATGAAGAAGTTTGGATATTTAATTCCATGGGTCACAGATATGCACAAGTAAATCATAATCCATTCTTGTTTGAATAATGAAAAATAGTAATGTTCATTGGAACAAAGTCAGAGTATCTTATGCATTTGAACATTCTGAATCTTATACTTTTAAGTTAAAAGTTTCCAGAGCATCATTATCTCTAAATATGTCTTTGATAGCAGCATTCCATTTTCATAATAATGACAATAAAGGCATCTGCTAAAGCTGGTGCAGAAATCAATTTATTACTTTATAAAATATTGTGGGACCAGTGGTTTCTATTGTCTTTTGAAAGCACATTAACAATAAAAGTCTTTTCCTAAGTTTATAGATCAGTTACATTGAAAAGATGCTGAAATCTAAAATATTAAGGAATAATTAATGCATTTTCAAAGCAAATACAATTTCAGGCATTAGGCTAGGAGTTTTTTGGGTTTAGGAGTTTTTGAAGGGATAGAGAGTCCCTACAGATGTAGAGCACTTTAGTTCATACTCCCCTCATTTACAAATACAGATAGTCTTCAACTTATGATCACAAATGAGCCCAAAATTTCTGTTGCTAAAGAGGAGACAATTGTTAAATGAGTTTTGCCCCATTTTGCAACAGTTGTTATGTGAATCACTGCAGTTGTTAAGTTACTAACATGGTTGTTAAGTGAATCTGGCTTCCCCATTGACTTTGCTTGTCAGAAGGTCGCAAAAGGTGATCACATGATCCTGGGACGCTGCAGCCATCATAAATATGAACCAGTTGCCAGGCACCTGAATTTTGATCTCAATGACCATGGGGATGCTGCAGTGGTCTTAAGTGTGAAAAACAGTCATAAACAGCACTTTTTTCAATGCTGTTGTAACTTTGAATGGTCACTAAATGAATGGTTGAAAGTTAAGGACTCCCTGTATAGATCCCTCTGATCAAAGCAATCCTCTATTCAAGGAGTTACTTTTACCTTACTTTGAAAGGTAAAAGCACTGTAACAAGAGAGTTTTAAGCTACTATAAACAAGACCTTTATGGGTAGTTTCAAATTCTGGTTTTTCCTTTTCTAATGGCTCTTTGTCTCCAAAGCTGTTTTTAATGAGACCTCTTTTATAATAATTTTATTTTGAGAGATGAATTGTTAAAGTCAAAATGTAATAAATAGAAGAAACAAAAAAGCAAAAAAAATAGAATAGAATTGCAAATAAAATAGAATTGAGTACAATGAATCATGGTAGGCAGATCTTCTTCAGGATTGTGAGCTATGAGCTATGAGTTCAGGTCGGAATATAGCCTGTTCACTTGACCATCCCATGCCTCATTCCATTATTAAGTTCATCAACTTCAAATAAATATTTTATTTTTAGGATTGTTTGAAGAAATTGAAACTGAAGAGAAGATTTAAGACATCAAATTGGCTATTTTCAAAATATTGTAAAATATATAAAGGCAATTCCAATATTGTTTAGTGATACATTTTTATACAGAACTGAATATTCTGGGGGATAGTAGATTAACTACAGGTCAGAAATCCCAAACCTCTGGCCTGTGGTCCACTACTGGGTACTGTACCTAAATGTAACTTTTTAAAATTCCTGCATTTCTTTAAGAGAATTGCTTTTCTTTTTTGAGAAGTCTCACTGCTTTAAGGAATTGCAGATGATGCTACAGTCACATCTTGGTACACTCTGGAGCACCTAGTAGTAGTCAAATTCAAAATGCTGCACAGCCTAATATTAATAATTTCTTTATACTATAGTGCAGGGGTGTCAAACTGCCGGGCCGCAGGCCAGACGTGTCATCCGGAAGCCGTGCCCATCCCATTGCCGGCAATGGCAAAACCGTCCCGATATGTTGCACGACGTCACATGATGTCGTGAGTTTGACATGTCTGCTATAATGTATTGTTGTAGTATACACAGATTGATTATGTGGCATCAAGTTGTATCAATTCTTAGTAACCACAAAGATGAATTTTCTTCATGATGATCTCTTCCTAACCTGCTATTTCAGATTTTCCAACAGTACAACCTTTGCCACTATAACTGAGTCCATCCACTATGCTGCTGGCGATTCTCTTCTTCTCTTTTTTCCCCCAGTAGTATTTACTACAGTTAGTATACATATAACACACTGTGTAAGATCATAAACAATTCTTCGATTTTTTTAAAGGTACTAGTAGCTCACAATGAAATATTCTAAAAGAAAGCTAATTTTGCAAATAATCCAGGCCAAGAAACCTATCAGAACTATATGTTGTTTATATATGACTAACTTTTCAGACTAATTGCTGTAGAAAATTCAATTTTAATTCAATTAGTGTTTGATCAACTCTCTTAGTGAATCTTTGGTTATGCCATCACTCAAACCAGAAACATTCAGGAAAAAATTCATAAACATCTGAACCTACTTTTTTTTTAAAAGCCCTTAGCTAACTACATAAATTGGGAAATAAAATACAAAATACTATATTATTACTCTATTTCAGTAAAATAAGCCATCAGGAAATCCCAAGGCTGTATGTTAGTCTTTGACGTAGAAAAACATTCCAGAAAAAGGCATAAGTAAGCTATTTCCATAGTGTTCCCAAGGAAACTACAAGGACATGTCCTTGAAAATCACCAAAAGCCAGGCTCAAAATGAAAAAACTTCACCTTTCCAAAGAGAAATACCAATATTTTAAACATCCACATTCAATATTTCTACCCAGAAAATAATCCATGTAAGAAAAGGTAATCTATAGGAAATAACTAAGACAAGAAACAATGGCTGGAAACTAACCAAGGAGAAAAAAAACCTAAAACTAAGAAGAAATGCCCTAACTGTGAGAGCAATTAACCAATGGAATAGAAGTTGTGGGTGCTTCATCACTGAAGGCTTTCAAAAACAGACTGGTCAATCATTTGTCTGAAATGATATAGAGTCTCCTGGTCGAACAGACTAGAAGACCTCTGAGGTCTCTCCCAACTCTATTATTCTATGTTCTATGTTCTAATCTGAATAAAACAATTCATAATTGAATGATTCAAGACACTTCATTAATGCATCATTTTTTTTAGCCAGTCCTGTGCACTACTGTTTTAAATTCTAGTAGTCCAAAGAAGGATGTTTTTCCTTTTTTGAGTGTTTTGTAGTGGTAACTCTGACATTTAACATCAAAGACTTTTTTTTTGTCTGCACCAGGTAAAGATGCTTGAATTTTAATGATTTGTGATAAATTACATCATGTTCGGGTGAACATGGCAAAACTAGATGTAAATGTCAATGAGTAATGCAAGGAAAACAAATTCATCTGTTAGCATGGTCAGTTGTATTCCTACCCCTTATTTACTCATTGTGCAAGAGACATCCAATTGACATTTCACTGCATCCCAGATTCATCCTCCATGTTTCTTTCGTATGTTCTGTATGTCCTTATTTTGTGGCAGAAACAAAAAAATATGATAAAAAACACAACTGAAAAAATTATCTATCTCACATGGAAACCCAAAAGTTTTTAACTCAGGTCTTTGGCCTTTAATTAAATACTTCCTGTCTAAAAGT